TAATATTTAAATACAAAAAGTGAGCGCTGACCTTTGTTTTATACATACGAAGGTCTAAGAGCCAAAATGTGCAGAGGAAATGAGTGCCTGCTCTGCCCATTCCCTCTCTGGCTAAAGCTACAGCCAGCCTCCCTTCTCTCCCACACACACAGGGATTCCTGGTGACTGTTCTGTACTACAGGTGTAATGGATCTTGTCAGTCCCACACTGTTTACATGTCCTAGACACTTCCATTAAAAAAAAAGTTCTATGGTCAGGGGTACCTACTTCTTGCCACAGTGGGCACGTAAGAACTTCCTTAGGAGCAATTTATTAAAGGGGAGTGGGATAACCTCCACATGGCTGTACTCCAGCATTGGAGTGAGAACAGGAAGTAAGTGAGGGCATTATGAAGGGCACAGGTGTACCTGGGGTCTCTCCGTGAGAAACGGAGAAAGTTCCCACTACGTTCAAATAGATCGATGTGCCAAGGTTAAAAAAAAGAATAAAAAGTTCAAACAATCAGCAGTTCAAACACAAATGAATTTCAGAGTTCTCACACAAGGACAAATACCGACGTAAGAATCTAGATCTTTCCGGGAAGTGGAGGTAGAGCCCCTGGCATTCCTCCTGACAGCCCTGTGTTAGGCCCTAAAAGTATCTGGAAAAGAAAAAATAAGACTGTTAAGACACTGTATAGTTCCAGTAAGTCTCTTTTGTCACACATGAGGGGTAGGCAAATTCTACACTGCAGAGCACCTAAAAGTACAGGGACCTACTCCCACGTGGAGTTAAGTGCCAGTCTCCTTGGGGCTCTGCCGCTGGCCCAAAGCCAAGAGCATGTGCTTACCTGCCGTTGCTGCAGTTGCTGTTGTTGCTCCATTTGCAACTTTTCTGTCTCAAAGACAACAGGAAGAACCAGGATCATGAAGGAAGTGGTCCCAATCCACAAAGCTGCCCTGGAAAATCTGCAGAGGGAGCGTGTGTATGTGGAGCCATGCAAAGAAAAGCTGGCCATCTGGCCAGGACCGAACCTGTGACAGAACTTCCAGTACCGCCCTCAATTTTCTGAAAGCGTACCCTACCCATTCCTTGCACTAGAGTCCTAGCAGAGGCAAGAGGAGCAGTAATTACCTAGTGGTTACAGTGCATTCTCATAAGCCTCGTATATAGTAATCTTAGTCTCCTAACGACCCTCCCAGGTAAGAACTCCACTCTGCAGACCAGCCACATTGGGTATGACAATGAATCCAAGGTCACTCAACTCTAGTCTCCAACTTCCGAGGCCCGGTGTCCTTTGACAGCACCAGCCACCCTTCCATGCACACTCCCGGTTGATCTACTTCGGCCCTTTACCTGTACATCTTCTGAGCCACGAAGAGAGAGAGATCAAAGGTGGCTCCGGCGGCTGACCGGACCCTCTCGGGAAACATCTCCGTCAGACCCCAGAGTCTCTCTGATAGGGTCTCATCTAGCTGTGGGTGGAGGAGGAGTGGGTCGCTGGCGGAGCGGCAGCAGCATTGGAGCCGCCGAGCCCAGGGCCTGGCCCTTCCCTGCCGCGCGGAGAAGCTGCCCTCCCGGCTCGCGGCGTCCACACCCCGACCGCCCGCTCCCGCCCCGCTCCCCGCCGGCCCTAGCACCTCGTCATCGTCGTCTTCTTCCAGCTCCTCCTCGGCTTTCTCTGCCTCTGCTTTCGGGAGCAATTCTTCGGGGGACAGAGGCTCCCCAGCCCCGGCTGCAGCAACGGCGGCGGCCATGGCTGTAGGACACCGGAAGCGGAAGAGAGCAGGCGAGAGCGACCCACCTCTGGACAGATCGTCTTCCGGAAGCGAGCAGGGCTGGGTGGAGAGAAAGCGTTTGCATCTCCTCCAGCTCGCCCCCTTGGTGTCTCCAGCCTCTTAATTTCAACTGACAGTAAGAGCATATTCAAAGAAAAACGCGGGTGCTTCTCAGCTATTCTGTGCAGCTGGATCTGGGCTTGGCTCTGAAACTACATATTTTAGAGAGATCTGGTTTTTGTTTTGTTTTTTTGGGACAGGGTTTCTCTGTGTAGCCCTGGCTGCCCTGGAACTCGCTCTGTAGACCTCGAACTGAGAGCTGGGGTTAAAGGCGTGCACCGCCACAAGTGAGCAATACTTCTCTTATAGATAGGTCTGTGTAGCCCATGCTGGCCTCAAATTTATACAAATGTGACTGCCTGGGCCTTTCCAGGGATTAAAAGATATTTCATTGGTAGCCTTGGCTGGCCTCAGACTTCTCTTGCCTCAGCCTCCTAAATGTAGGGATTACAAGTGTATGCCATTGTACTCATCAACGAATGCGTTAAATTTATTTGAAATGAGTGTGGGTGTGCTTTGAGGCTAGAGGTCTTTGATCCCCGGTGCTGGAGGGAATACAGACAATCATGAAGCCACCTGACATGGATGCTGGGAATTGAACTTGGGCATTTTAGAAGAACAGTAAGTACTCTTTAAATGCTAAGCCATCTCTCCAGCCCTAACAACACATAATTGGAAAAAAATTCTTACTTTTAAAAATTACCCTTTTATGTGTGTATGTGCATAGGTACACATATACCATGTGCTTATGGAGGTCAGAGGACAACTTGCTGATTCAATTTGTTGATTCTCTCTGTAACAGGGTCCAGACCTTAGCACAACTGACTCTATGACGGAAGTGTCATTCAGGCTGAAAATCTCAGCATATAACAGCATCAGCCAAAAATTAAAGCAAAGAACTAGTTCAGCAAAGTCCATAGTTCTTATCCGCATCTGTAGTTCTGCTTCTGGCTAACGGCTGCTGTTTACTGAAGTATGTCAATCCAAAACATGTTTTTGGTCTGTATGTGTGCGCATGCACATATGCTTAAAAGTTCACCCTGAGAAAGGCTTGCTGGGCTACATGGGGATCCTGAACATTGGCTAATAAAGATTTTCTATTGGCTTAACACCCATGTCCACACAGTCTACTCTGGTGAATATTCATGATACTCTTCTACCATGTGGGTCCTGGGGATCAAATTCACACTCAACAGCAAGCATCTTTTTTTTTCTTAACAGCAAGTATCTTTAATCTACTGAGTCATTTCATTCTCCCCAGCCCCAGGACCCCCCCCCCCACACACACACACATTAAAACATGGTTCCATGTAGCCCAGGCTAGTCTTGAACTCATTTTGTAGTCAAAGATAACCTTGAGTTTCTGATCCTCCTGCCCCAGGTACATCACCACACAGGAATCAAACCCAGCCCCTTGCTGGGCAGTGGTGGCACATGCCTTTAATCCCAGCACTTGGGAGGCAGAGGCAGGCGGATTTCTGAGTTCCAGGCCAGCCTGGTCTACAGAGTGAGTTCCAGGACAGCCAGGGCTACACAGAGAAACCCTGTCTCGAAAAACAAACAAACAAAAAACACCTAGCCCCTTATTCTACCATCTGAGCCACAAACATGATGTTTTCTTATTACTTTTGTTGTTGTTGTTGTTGTGTTGTTTTGTTTTAAAGAGACAAGTTCTGGCTGTCTTGGAACTTGATATGTAGGCATTCAACTCACAGAAATTCATCTGCATCTCCCTCCAAAATGCTGGGATTAAACTCCTGCAACATCATGTTCAGCTTATACAGTAGTTTAAAAGAAAGTATGTTTAACAGTAAAAGGGTTTTCAACTATTGTAAAATTGCACAGAGATCAAACAGTAGGATAATGCATTGTCACCTTCAGACCAGTGGGGGATGGTCAAGATGATCCAGAAAATCCCGAGCCAATCCGGGAGCAGAGGACAGAGCTCCACAATGGGGTAGTGTGACTAGCACTGTGGGTTTAAGAACAAATGCCCAGTACCAAAGGCCACACACAGGAAGTGGAATCAGGCCAGAGGTCACAGAAAGAAAAGGACCCGTCAAGAGTTCCAGTGAGTGGTGATGGTCCACCTGGGTGGGAGGGGGCATCCTAGAACCCTCGGCCCCTGGCTGGTCCACTGCCTCTTTCCTCGAGGCTGCAGTAACTGCCATTCCTGTGCTGGTCCTGTCAGAATTTGAAGCTGGAGGTAAAGCCCTTACTTGAAGTGTGGGCCACTCGGGCCTCTACTGCCTCGCACCCACAGAAATGTCTATTTCAGTTCTTCAGTGGCAATCTTTCCCTAATCAAGCTCAGTATAGAACCTCATGAAACTGTTGCCTCAGTTACAAGAAATAATGTCAAGGGGCCAGTGGGAATCAGTTTCTAGTTTGACTAAGAAAAGCTTTGAGGGAGAATTTTAGCCAGAACCTGAAGGCAATATCTACCCAAAAAAGGAAACTTGTAAGGAGGACATGCTGGGCACTGGGGCATCTGGGACAACTTTAATCCTAGTACTTGGGAGACAGAAGCAGGTGGATCTCTATGAGTTGGAGGTTAGCCTGGTCTACATATTGAGCTCCAAGACGAGAGAGAGAGAGAGAGAGAGATCGAGAGAGAGAGAGAGAGAGAGAGAGAGAGAGAGAGAGAGAGAGAGAGAGAGATCGAGAGATCCTGTCTCAAAACAAAAACTGCATACCTCTTAAAGGAAAAAAAAGGAAATACTCTTCCTAAGGGAAATAGGGCTGAGGTGAGGACTGTAGGTATTATTCTTTTTTGTTTTTTTTGTTAACAAGGGTCACCCTTGGCCCCTTTCTAAAACCATAACACCACCACTCTGTCAAAAAAAGCCTGGTGAACCCCACCTGTAAGTCCCATGCACACACTGGCCACATCACTCTTCTATTTCTACCTCATTGTGATGGAAACAGCCTGGTCCCTTCCAACTGTTCTTCCTACAGAACAGCCATGGCTGTGGCAGCGTTCTGCTCAGAATAAATCCTCGGCTGCACAGCTGCCCTATGATCTACTGACTCCAGCACTTTGCCTAAGATGCCAGTGTTGGCAGGGGAAGCCACATCATTTGGACATACAAGTGATGCCCAGGGCCCCAGCCATAGCTCCTTCTCTTCCAGACCCCACCTCACTGGACTCGTTTCTTCAACTGAAAAAACAGTACTAAAGTTGTCATGAGAATTAAACATAGGTGCACGCCTTTATTCCCAGCACTTGGGAGGCAGAGTCAGGCACATCTCTGAGAGTTCTTGGCCAGCCTGGGTCAGCAGAGTTAGTTCCATCCAGGACAGCTGAGGCTACACAAGAGAAACTCTGTCTTGAAAAAAAAAAACAAACAAAAAAGATACCCAGCATCAGCAGTTCTCAATAAATGGTTGCCAGAAACAGTTAGCGGTCAGGACACAAGCAAACCCCATTATTCCATAGTCTGTACCTATGAGATGTGTCTGGACCCTTTTCTTGTTTCTTCAGTATTAAGCATTCTCTTGGGCTATCAAGATCACTCATGGGACAGGAACACAAGTCACTAAGCTTGACAACCTGATCAAGTTTGATCAGTTTGATCCTCATGACCCACATGGGACAAAGAAAACTGACTCCTGAAATCTGTCCCTTGACCTCCTCATCGAGCAGTAGGTCACACGAAATCTGCTTCACAAAAGCATAAAACATAATAGAGTTAAAGGGGAGAAACGGAGATTTCCAGGTCTGGCACTTGAAAGGGTGTGAGCTGCGGTTCTCCATTATGCTCTCTTGACCACACCCCTGCATAGACTATAAGCTACAGTCTCAGTGTAGGCACCTCTGTCACTGTGGGCTGGGACTCAGGCCTTCAACATTTGCACTTGTCACCTACAGCAGTTTCCAAACTGGTCTCTGAACAGAGTGATGTCACCATGGTTACAGGGCTAAGCTTTGGAAATATGAAATGTGTTCTCTGACCTCCACATGGAGCAGTGGGCTGAGGGGATACATGCAGGGGACTGAGCCTACTGCCAGGCTCAATACCAAATCAGAAGGAGGTAACCACAGTAGTGGTCCCCAAGTTAATGCTCTGGCTCCATGCCTCAACCCGAGTTCCCTGCTGGACTCTGAGGACTGGATTCCTCTCTGCCTAGAGGAGGCTAGTTTACATCAACCTGGGCAATGATTCCATGCCTTTCACTTCTTGATAGGTCTGGACCAGCTAGTGGGCACTGGTGACACCTCGAGGACACAGGAAAGCAGAGGAATTTGAACACGAAGTCATTATTTCTCTTCCAGGGTGGTCCCCCCTTCAAGGTGCTGTTTTTTTTTTCAATCCTAAAAATCCTGTCTTTTGGTGGAGCAACACAAACTTAGAACCCAGGCTCTGGTTACTTCCTGAGGAAACTACACTTTGTTGTTGTTGTTGCTGATCTATTTTTGCTACACAAGAGATTATTAAACACCATTTAATAAAAATAAATTACAATGTGCTGTGGAAGGCCGGAGCTGATGCCAGAAGAGGGTGTGGACTTGGGGATGAGGGCTCTTTAAAAGGCAGAGAGATTATAGCTGGGGGTTCAGGGGCCAGGGTGCAGACAACCCAAAGCCACTTGCTGTGCGCCCTCATATGAAGTGCTCTCTGGAAGGAGTGCCAAACCCCAGACACCAGTGTCAAGAGGTGAGTTACCAGCTGTCTGAACACGGTGACTCTGAGACATGGATAGTTATATGCTGTCACCTGCTGACAGCACCAAAGGCTCATTATTTCTAGACTGTCCTGGGGTATGCTTTAGATTGACATCCTAGGTGTATCCAGGGTACCTCCTTAGCTATGGCCCTGGCCTGGCACCTTGGGTTCTTCCATCCCATGTCTCCTCCCTATCCCCTGTCCAAGGGAGCCAGGGCCTATAAACGCTCTCCTAGGGCAAGTCTACTATTCCGACTAAAAATCAAAGGGCTCCGCCACATCCTCCTCCCCTGGTCAGTGGGCTCTCTCTAGTCTCCTAGCCAGTGTCCCCAGGCTCGTCACTTCCTCCTGCGGTTGGTAATCTTCAGCTCATCCAGTTCTTTGTCCTTTAAGTGGGACTCAGCAGTGGTTTCTGAAAGCTGGAAATAAAAACATCAGGCTGTTACAAAGAAAGCTCCATCCAGGCCATGGTGCAGACATGCACAGCTACTGTGCACCAAGGAAAGATACCATTTCTTACCCAGCTAAGCCTTGATAGCCAGAGGGATTACTCCTCCCCATCCCTCTAACACATCTACACAACTGCATGGCATACCATGTGTGAAGGACAGAAACAACAGACACTGGGTACACTGCAGTTAAAGAGATGATAAATCACTTTGCACCATATATCTCGTATAATGGAACTTAGCAAACAATGCTATAAAAAAAGAACGAATCAGGAAGATGGGATGCTCTAAAAATAATGTTCCTTTCCTCATCAGTATCTTTGACTAGGCTTTACAGTAGACGGGTCAGATACTGAACATGAAGACAGAGGGTTGGCAGTGGTCTCTGCTCTCAGAGCATGTTTGTGGCTTGTATTAGTTCCAAGAGGGAGACGCTGCTCTGATGCCCGTTGTCTTGCTGGAGAGATGAGGTCATACAGTACTTACCTGGTGGAGCAAAGAAGCTTCCCATCAGCTCCCTCGCGCCTGTCATCCCCTGCACACCACTGCCAGGCCCAGCAGACACAAGAGACATTAATTTGGTATGTACCCTCTGCAGGTCTGCACTGGGCACTGACTCCTCTAAACATGAGCAGACACCTCCACCACCTGGGATGCCTTCATCTAACCTTCATTCTTGCCACTAACCTGGGGCTTTGTCAGAGAAACGCTCTCCACTGTCTAGACCTCTTCTCCCGTGCAGATATCAGGCGCTGCTTAGACTAAAGGATACCCTTACCACAGGCACAGGGATTGTGGATTCTGTAATACTGCTCCAGCCTTTGGTGGCAAGGCTGGCTTTTATATTTGTGTGTGGATACTCAGGAAATGAATCTGGCAAATAGGTCCTGGAGAAATCAGTTGGATGGCTTGACTCAAGGTAGGGCTTCTCTAAAGGAGAACCTAGGTGTCACTTGGGATTCCTTCCTCACCATGTCCAGCAGAATGTCCACTTTCAGCCGCAGGAGATTGTTTTCTTCTTCCAACTGCTGGTTTCGTTTGCGCAGGCGCTGAGTTTCCCTCCGGTCCACACCCCCACTAATCACTGAGTCTAGAGGACACAAAACAGGAGTGAAAGGGGTCTCCTTCTACCACCCTGACTGACAAAACATCAGGAAGGGCCACTCACCTGCCACCCACTGGCCGTTTTCAAACTTCAGGCTCTGCCCTGCCAGGTTCATGGTGGGGGTTCCATAGTCCAGGCCCAGCTCCAGTTCCCGCGTTGACCGATCTAACTGTGGTAAGACACCATGATGGCTCAGGAAGCCACAGAACAAGAGATGACATCAGAACGAGAGACGATGACCCCCAGCTTCTACCATCAGTTCTAGAACCAATAACACTGGCATCTCTCCGCCTCCCAGGAGCATCTCTCTGCCCCCACCCCCACCCCCAGGACGTAGCACCTTTAAAGACACATTTTTTTGAGACAGGGTCTTCTATGCAGTCCTGGCTGTTCTGGCTGTCACTGTGTGGATCAGACCAGCCGTGAACTCACAGAGATCTGCCTCTCAAGTGTGGGGATTAAAGGTGTGTGCCACTGTCCCCCTCATAATCTTTTTACATCTACTTGACAGTTCAAAGAATCCTGCTGTGCGTTTTTATATGTAATCATACTTGGCTTTAATTCATTCGCCTCTGCTTCAGTGTATATTTATAATACAAGGAAACTTGTAAGTTGTTGTTTGCTTAATATGGAAGCACAAAATCCTAACAGCTCCTGGTAGGACTTGTTTAATATGGGGAGGTCTAATTTCTGTATTATTGAAAGAACTCATCAGACACTCCTAAGTCAGGCCTGACCCCTGTGCATTCAGACATGCGTATGACCAGCTCTGCCAGAGAGAAGCTTTCAACCCTGAGAGGGACACATGAACAGCTTGACAAGCTGGTTGTGTGCACACGGGCAGGCAGGCGTGCATGTGTGCATGTGTGCATGAGTGTGTGGGTAGAAAGAGGGAGAAAAAAACAGGCAAGCACTCCAAGTGTATGCTAAAATGTCCTTTGCTTGGTTAGGACTTCCCTGAGCACCTTATTTAAAATGACAACTCTGTTTCCACATCACTCTCCTTGTTAAAATGTCTGCCTCAACAGATGCAGGGATTTGGTTTCCCCCCCCCACACACACACACCTCTTTTATTTTTTTTTCCTCTTCTACTTGGGCTTGAACCTTGGGACTTGAATATACTTCCACTGACATATAGCCCTTACTCTGTGTGTGTGTGTGTGTGTTCATGTATGTACAGGTCATTGTTTGTACACGTGTGGAGGCCAGAGGACAAACTCAGGTGTCATTCCTCAGGTACCGTCCAGTTTTAAAAAAACATTCCAGGCCGGGCATGGTAGCTGCACATCTCTAACCCCAACATTCAGGAGGCAGAGGCAGGTGGATCTCTGTGAGTTCAAGGCCAGCCTGGTCTACAGGGGGAGTTCCAGGACAGTCAGGGCTACATAGAGAGACCCTGTCTCACCTCTGCCCACCACAATAAAGGAGTCAGCATATAGGGCATCAGCTCTCATGACGGCATTTTCAAACAAAGGCGTGCTGTGTAGGTAGGGTCTCTTTTTCCCTAGTAACCACCCTCTACTCAGTTCCCCCCCCACTCTGCCCCTTCTTTAGCATCTATGTTAAGGGGCTTTTCACTTATCCTGAAGCTCATGAAGTAGGCTAGCTGGCTGACCAGTGAGTCTCAAAGATCTTCCTGTCCTCAGCCTGGTGTCTTCTGCCTGTGCCCCGCCCCCACTCATCTGCCACAATACCAGTGTTTTACTTTTTATTAGAGTTTTTAAAAATTAGATTTGTTTGAGTGTGTATGTCTGTGTGCGTATATCTACCACATGTGTGCCTGGTACCTGTGGAGGTCAGAAGACATTGGATTCCTGACCCTGGAGTTATGGATGGGTGTGAAGCATCAAGTAGGTACTGGGATTCTGACTTGGGTCCTCTTCAAGAACAGCATGTCTTTTCAACCATGCCCAGTTTCTAAAATGTTGGCTCTGGGGATTAAACTTGGGTCCTCACATCTCTCCACTGAGCCCTCTCCTCATTCCTCATTCCTTTGCTAAAACTACTATAAATTTTGAGGGGTGTGTGTGTCTTGTTGTGATGCCTAGGCAGGCCTCGAACTTGTAATTCTGTCTCAGCCTCCCAAGTAGCTGGAATTATAGGCCTGTACCACCAAGCTAGGTCCCTCTCTCTTCCTTACGCAGGACCTAAGAGACTGGCTGATACACAGAGTTATCAATTAGCTGCTATGAGATTGATGAATAGAGACGATGGCTCTGGGCAGGCAGAACAACAGGCATGGAGGAGGCTCTTGTGAGGGTGGGTGGCTGAAGCAAAAGGTGCAGAGGACAAGGCCAGAAGGTACCTTATGTGCCTTTCTCAGAACCTGAGCCACTGTCCTGTACAACAGGATGCTATTAAGCCCCCTGGGGGAGAGAGAGAGAGCTCAGAGGTTAAGAGCACTGGCAGCTCTTCCAGAGGTCCCAAGTTCATATCCAGCAACCACGTGGTGGCTCACAACCTTCTGTAATGAGATCTGGTGCCCTCTTCTGGCCTGCAGGCAGAACGCTGTATACATAATATATAAATAAATCTTAAAAGGACTCTGTACACCATGTTTTGTGTTTCCTTATCTCAGTACTTGCCTGTGATATCCTAAAAATACTGCAGGGAGGGTGAGCTTCTCAAGTCACTCTCAGACAGTAGCTTTATAAGCACACTGCCGCCTTTAGGACAAGGGTTGTCCCAATGAGAGTACCAGGTACATCTGTGTCGTTGGTGTCTGGAAGGAGGCTTGAAGCCCAAAGCATGGAAAACTAGGATCCCAGAGTGCTTAGCCCTGGCCTTAGCACGGCTGCCATAATGATCCTAACTGGGGACTAGAGGCAATGGACTCAGAGCCTTTGGAGCTGGGGCGATCCTTGTCCCCTAACCTACAGACCTGTAAAGAACTGGCTCATCTGCACAAATGCCATGTGGGAAATGGACAAGGAAACAGGGGTCTACCATCTCTTGGTCTGAAAGACCCAGCAGTAGCACCCAGATTTAAGGACAGGGATATGGTGGGAATGAAGGACCCAGTTTGTGGCCATAGATGCTGAAAGGGTTGTGTGTGGACCTATGTGTATCTGTACCGGGGATGGGAGGGCATCTCATAGCTAGCAATGACTTTATTACGTATTTTCTAAGCGTGGGGCGGCTCCATGTTGCCTCTGGAAAGTTACCTTTGTCCTAGTGCTGTCATAGGCCCAGATGCTTTTGGACCCCCTTTTTTAGAACTGTTTTTTTTTTTAAGATTTATTTATTTATTTTATGTATATGAGTACACTATTGCTGTCTTCAGACACACCAGAAGAGGGCATCAGATCCCATTACAGATGGTTGTGAGCCACCATGTGGTTGCTGGGAATTGAACTCAGGAACCTCTGGAAGAGCAGTCAGTGCTCTTAACCACTGAGCCATCTCTCCAGCCTTGGAACTGTTATTATCCTTCTAAATGCCACTAACAGTGGCAAGTCAACATCATCTGTGACTCTCCAAAATAAACTTGATTTTTTTTTTTTTTTAGTTTTTGGCAGGACATGGGGGTGCACACCATTAATCCCAACACTTCTGAGGCAGAAGCAGGCAGATCTCTGTGAGTTTGAAGCCATTTTTGGCCTACACAGCGAGCTTCAGGACAGCCAGGACTACACAGAGACTCTGTTCTCCAAACAACAGCAGATTTATTTTTATTTTATGTGTACGAGTGCTCTGACATCATGTATGTCTGTGAACCTTGTAAATGCAGTGTCAGTAGAGGCCAGAAGAGGGTGGTAGATCCCCTGGAACAGTAGCTACAGATGGTTGTGAGCCGTCCACGTTAGGGGCTGGGAACCCAACCCAGGTCCTTTGCAAGAGTAGCAATTACCCTTAATGGCTAAGCCATCTCTCAAGCCCTGGAATTGTCTCTACCTGTACCCTGGATGCCCTGGAACTCTCTCTAAGTAGACCAGGCTAGCCTTGAACTCACAGAGGTCCCCCAGCTTCTACCTCTTGATTGTTGAAAGTAAAAGTGTAGCACTGCACCCAGCTTGGATCTGATCTTTAAATATGACTAAAATGATTTGAACAAGTTTTGGAACTAAAATGTCAGATTGGACAGCTGGGGCTGTATCACCATGAGGCTGTTGCGGGAGATTCTTAAATAAACTCTGACAGTCGTTGCCATGCAGGAATTCAAACGACTGATACTACAAACTCTGAGGATGCCCTCCCGAAGTGTTGCCTCTCCACCCAGAGATCACTATGCCACCCCGGTCTCCACTCACAGAATGTAGGTTGGAGAGAGAGGCCGACTTCCGAGGAGGGGTCTTCTTTGGGCTGAATATGCTCCCAAAGAGAGGCATCCCTGACTCGTACGGAAACACCAGCACTTCCTTCTCCTAGGGGCAAACAGATCAGTGACCTTATCTCATTGTTCATTGAGAACATTTTACCCTTTGATGATTACCAATCCTGGAAATACCTACTGGGAAGAGCCATCCATTTAGACGGAACAGCAAAAGGTTTAAGATCCTAATAGTTCTGGTGGAGCTCCCATGCGCTGGGTGCTTCCTGTGTGCCAGGCAGAGTGTGCTAAGGCCTTTGCATAAACCCATGTAACTCACAACTACCCCTCGACATGTCCCTCCTAGTCACCCCATTTGGTTGTTGACATTTGGAAAGACAAGGTCTTCAGTAGGACCAGGCATTGGAACCAAAGTTTGTGTGGCTTCACAGTGATGCTAACCTCAGACAACTCTTGTCATGAGTTGTCCTTGCCAGCATCAAAGTGTGGAGCACGGGAGGAAATTTCTCCTGTTCCTGTCAGACAATAAGAGCAGCACCCGAATGCTAACTTCTGCATAGACGTCACCCTAAAGCCATGAGGTAACATTTGGACTTCACTCCTAGATTGAGGGGGGTACTTATCACAGTCCATGTGTCAAGTCACCTGTCCTGAGAGGTGAGGTCTTAAGGAGAGAGCCAGCACATGATGGCAGTGACAGTGACACTCATCAGCACACTAGCTTTAACCACAGCACAGCCTCCTGTGATGCTCATAAAATCAGTAACCTCACTTAGGCTGGGGGAAGAGGTCAGCTTTTCAAGTAAAACAAGTAAAGACAAGTCATAAAACCATAAGGCTCCGTGGTAGGTTGGTTTTGTTCAATATATGGGTTTATGTGCTGTATGCATGCACATGTGCAGGGGTGTGTGTGTGTGTTTTATGAATATTTGTGTGTAGAAAGGGGACGTCAGGTGTCCCATGTCCTGTTGTATTCCCTTTAGACAGGGTCTCTCACTGAACCCGGAGCTAGACTGGTGGCCAGCGAGTACAAGCAGTCCTGTCTCTGCCCCCAATTAGGGCTAGAATTGCAGGTGTCAGAGTCCGTAGCAGGCTTTTTACTGGGATTTGGGGACATGAATCCAGGTTCTCATGCTTCCACATTCACTGAACCTCTCCCCCCAGGCCCCTTCACAGATTTTTTTTAACACACACACACACACTCTTCAAGGTACAGGCCACATCAGCACCCAGAAAGGTGCTCCTGTATCAGCACCTTCGAGACCTCTGGATTACTGGATAAGCAATTCTGCTGAGGTCCTAGGGTTCTTTAGCGAAGCTCTCTCATAGAGGACTAAGGGCCAAGAAAGTTAAGGGTTTGTACCTGGTTTCCAACCAACACTGTTGCTCACTCTCTGGGGAAACTCAGCATTCTATCCCCCAAGGGCCTCAGTGGCTTTGTTTGTTGTTGTTTTTAATGTGTCTGGGTGTTTGCCTGCGTACCACGTCGTGCCTTGTGTCTGCAGACTCCTGGAACTAGAGTTACTGGCGTTTGTGAGCTGGGAATCGAATCCAGGTTCTCTGCAACAGCAAGCAGTTCTCTGAGCCTCTGAGCCATCTCTCCAGCTCGTGAGTCCCTTATTTATAATCACGAGTGATAACGGCACCCAGCTGATAGGTTAAGAGTGCTTTCATGTTTACAAATTGTTGGGACATTTGATGCTCACCACGACCCTGGGAAATAGAAACTGTACTTACTGTGCGAAGTTTTAGTTTGTATCAGGCTATAAAATGCATTATCTTCGTTCTAACCAAAAAAAAAAAAAAATTAAAGGAAGCATCTTTGGTTTTCACTGGATTCTCAAAGGGAAAGGTGTCTCGAAAAAGTTAAGAGCCAACCAGTCTCGCGTCTGCAGGCTCAGGGGCCACAGGACCCTAAGAGTTGAGTACGGGTTAGGAGAAGACCTTCAAAGAATGGGTCAAAACACCACCTCCGTGTCACCGTCGCGAGCCGCGTCCGCGGAGCACGCCACCACCCAGCCTGCCCGCTATCCTCTCCAGGGGTACCTGGGCATCCCACCCACCACGACGGGCGCAGACATCTGCCCGCCGCCCCGAGATGTACCTGTCTGCGAAGCCAGAGTCCAGAGCTAGCCCTCAGCCTTCTGCAAGGATCCGCCCAGGCCGCGTCAACCGCCGCGACCGCGATTGGCGGGCGCCGGGCTCCGTCGTGCGCACGCGCAGTTTCTCTGGCTTCCACCACTAAGGACGGAGGGGGAGCCACCCCCGAGACGAGCCTCCTCGAAGCAGCGGGGCCCCTGCCGTCTCCCTCCGGTTCATGAATAGAGAGGAAAGCTTTGAGCAGGTCTTCTGGGATCCGCACACGCCTTGTAGCATAGGCCGGGAGAGGCGTGCCTCCCTAAACACGTTGGTCTGGTCCCCGGGTCAGCGCCGCCGTCGCCATAGTAACTGTGTACAGTGGCAACAAGGCAAGCTGAGAGCTGCTTTGTTGTGGTAAAGGAGTAAGTGGTGACACCGACTGGACTCACAGTAGCAAAATGGCCCGACTTGCGGCTCCCCCGCCCCTGCCACAAAGCAAACCGCGCCCCTTCCCGATGGTTTGGGGCCGCGGATGCTGGCGGCCTTCCGGAGCTTGGTCGGTTCACGGGAGGGGCCGATGGCGGAACCCGCCCTGAGGCTTCGGGATTCGGCTGAAGCTTTCAGGTAAGACAGACGGACAGACATGACGACTCCCTGCCACTAGCAAACTGACTCCTGCCAGGCCTGCCTCCTCCACACTCCCACAAACAAGGGAAACTGAGGCCCGGGGAAGGTCGCCCAGTGAATAAGGGACAGAGAACTGGAGAGTTAGCTCCAGGATTCCTCAAGTCCTAAGGGCCGGTATTGTAGCTCAGTTTGGTAAATGAAGAAATGGGCCATCCAGGAGGCATTTCCTGGGTGCCTCGTGGGTGCACGAGATCATCTGATCCATAAAGGGCAGGAACGAGCGGTCTGTGTCTCCAAGCAGTTTTCCTCCACCGTTGCCACACAGCATTCGAAGAGAGAGTTCCACATCTAAATCAATCGTATCTAGCATAGCGATCACCGGTTCTACACAAACATAAAGCATCCCCGAAGCACCTTTCGAATTTCGAGAAAAGGTCTCACTGGGCACTCCTTATCTCATCCTCCTGCCTCAGCCTCTCAATGCTGGAATTACAGACATACACCCAGCCTGGCTTCAGCCCGCTACCCTTTTGTTTTGCCTTGTTTCTTTGAGATTTGAGACTGGGGCTCACTCTGTAGTTCTGGTCGGTCTCCCAATTTACACAAATCCTCGTGCTGGGATTAAAGGCTAGTGCTACCATACCCAGCCCTATGCTTTTACAAGTCAATTCAAAACAGATTAAATTAACTTGACTATTATCGCATTGGTTTGTCCAAAATATGATTAAACAAATAGTTTTAATTTTACCATGTGTTGGTTTTTAATTTTAAAAGAAATTTTACCTTCTTCAGTCACACCAACCAAATTTAAGAATTTTGTTTTTGTGTGTGGCTGGGATCGTCCAAGGAGCTTCCCAAGGATTTGAGGAATCCTGGAGCTAACTCTCCAGGCTTGTTGCCCTCTCTCTGGGTGGTATTTCTTCTCTCCTTCAGCCAGTCAACTCCTGCTCTTCTGTCAGCACCTTGACTTCTGTAACTAGGTCAAAACAAACTGTTGCAGCACTCCAGAGGCAGAGGCAGGAGGATCTCTGTGAGTTGGAGGCCACCTTTGTCTACATAGCAAGTGCCAGGCCAGCCACGACTATATGATAAGATGCTGACTCAAAAAAAAAAAAACTAAACAAAAAACCCCCAAAACAAAACAAAACAAACAAAAAACAAAAGAACCCAAAAAACCAAAGAAACAAAAAACCCAAAAACCAAAAACTCAAAAACCCCAAAACCAAAACAAAAAAACAACCACACTGTCATCTCATATCCCTATGCACTTTCTTTGGAAGCAGTAGTGAGTTATAATTCATCATTATATGCATAATTTTTATGAATTATACTTTATAATTATGTACTTATTTTAACTTTACAAGTCTACCCCAATAGCCCCTGTAGGGCTATGGATCCAGTCTGGCTCAGTTTGCCATTCTGTGCCCAGTTGGAGAATACTTCCTGGTCAGTGGGAAGTCCTCAGTAAATAGTCATTGAGTCTGTTGACAGTGAACAGAGATCCAACACGCAGAGGTCTGCGTTCTGCACGCTATCAAATGCTAACTATGAGTGGGGAATAGTCAATCCCAGCTGCCAGAATGCCCTGAGGGGAAAGGTTCCTCAGCTCCCACTCATCCACCCCCAGCACCTGGCACAGTGCTTGCCATAGCGGCTTTCAATGAAGCTTGCTTTCCCTCCTCTGCAGGCAACAGCAGTAGAAAACTTACTGGGCTCCAGAGCACACATATCCTTAAATGGTATGAGGGAGAATTCAGCCCGGAGCAATGTGTATATTTTAAACATTCCTCTTTAGAAACTACTCAGTTCTCACATTAGGTGTGAGTAATCTCATTAGGCTAAAGCTAGAAGCTTCCTGACAGAGTCATCAGAGCCTAGCTTCCCAGAGAACATAGTGTAATTTTCCAGCCATTCTGGGGAATGGGTAGGAGGACGATGAGAAGTCCTGAGATGCACCCGCTTCTTCTCACCTCCCCCTGCTTGGCCTGTGAGGCAATTGACTAGGAACAGAGAGCAAGAAATGATACTGACCTGGGGTGGTACCCCCCAAATCCACATAAATAAAGTTAGTCTTGGTGGTGTGCACTTGTATCAGAACGTGGTCCAGGAACGGAATTGTGTGAGGACAATTCTGAATGCTGTGATAACACTCCAAGAAAACGAGAATGGTTTGGTTGCATTAGACTCTAGTCTCCCTCATTTGTCCGCCCCATCCTCCCAGGCCCCACCACCTCTAGAGCGGTGACACTCCTGTAAGCCTGGTCATAGGAGGCGCTGGCAAGGAGATCCTGGGGCTTGTGGGTCATCTAGTCTCGTTGGTGAGCTTCAAGTATAGTGAGAAACCCTGGCTCACAAAACAAGGGAGAGAGCGGCCAAAGAAAGACATCCTGACATCACCCTCTGGCCATCACACTAGCCTGCATAGGCACATGGGCACATGTGCACACACACACACACTTAACACACACGCTCACACACTCAAATTACATGTGCTTTAAAATCCTGTTAAAAATGAGCTTCCCAGGGCTGGGGAAATGGCTCAGCGGTTAAGAGCACTGACTGCTCTTCCAGAGGTCCTGAGTTCAATTCTGAGCAACTACATGGTAGCTCACAACCATCTATAATGTAATCCGATGCCCTCTTCTGGTGTTACTCTCCTCTGAAGAGAGTAACAGTGTACTCACGTGAAATAAATAAATAAATCTTTAAAAAGCCCAACTTTAAAGAAAAAAAGAGGAAGAAGAATGAGCTTCCTGCGTTCTGTCCAAGAAAAGGTACTGGGAAGGAGCCTGATACCTGCAGTACTCAGGATTTTCCCAGCTGGCCTCCTGCCAGGCTCCCTCTTAAAGACCTCTGGAACAGCCAGGGGGGAAACTAGAGTCTCAATGAATAAGTGTATGTAAAAGAGGGAGTGGAAGAGTGGTAGTTTAAAATAGCCTTTTATTTATTTTTTTTTTAAAGAATTATTTATTTTATATACATGAGTACACTGTCACTGTCTTCAACACACCAGAAGAGGGCATTAGATTCCATTACAGATGGTTGTGAGCCACCATGTGGTTGCTGGGATTTGAACTCAGGACCTCTGGAAGAGCAGTCAGTGCTCTTAACAACTGAGTCATCTCTCCAGCCCCCTAAAATAGCCTTTTAAACATTTAAAAAATTATATGTATTTGTATGTATGTGAGCTTGTGAATGCAAGTCCAGAGGCCTCAGAGGCCAGAAAGTGTCAAAGCTCCTGGCTGGAGTAGCAAGAATTTATTTATTTATTTATTTATTTATTTATTTATTTATTTATTTTCGAGACAGAGTTTCTATGTGTACCCTGGCTGTCCTGGAACTCACTCTGTAGACCAGGCTGGCCTCGAACTCAGAAATCTGCCTGTCTCTGCCTCTCAAGTGCTGGGATTTAAGGCATGTGCCACCACCGCCCGGCCGTTGCAAGAATTTATGATCTGTCTGATATCAATACTGGGAATTGAACTTGTGTCCTCTATAAGATAAAGATGTGCTATTAACTGCTGAGACATCTCTCCAGACCCTCAAGTGCCCTTTCTTTTCTTTTTTTTTTTAAATATTTGATTTTTTTAAGGTTTATTTATTTATATGAGCACACTGAAGTCTAAAATAGCCTTTTATTTTTTATTTATTTTTTTAAAGAATTATTTATTTTATATACGTGAGTACACTGTCACTGTTTTCAACACACCAGAAGAGGGCTTCAGATCCCATTACAGATGGTTGTGAGCCAGCATGTGGTTGCTGGGAATTGAACTCAGGACCTCTGGAAGAGCAATCAGTGCTCTTAACTTCTGAGACATCTCTCCAGCCCTCAACTGGCCTTTCTAATGATTTAGTAATGACAGAAATGGATCCAAAATAGTTATTTAAGTGATTTTTCTACCAAAGCAATTGAAGACTCTTCATATCAGCTCTGGAAGCACAGCTGAGCTGGGA